TTAGATTGGAAATTGGCCCCAAATCCTAGAATATTTAACATTTAGGAGGACAAAAAATAGCTTTTGACTGTTTAAGTAATCAGAAGCCCTGGTTAAAGCTTGGATCATGGATGGCTGTCACCTCTGTACAATAAGAACTTTAAAAATTTCACCCCTTGGACCAGGAAATATAAAGGACATTTTGTCTTGGATTATGAATTTTAAAAAGAATCTCATGTAAAAACTTGAATGTATCTCTGGCCTATACATTTAAAAATTAGATTTGTAATATTCATATGGTATGAACATTCCAAATGGAGAAATTATTATAAAAGGGACTCTTATTTTTATTTTTTATTGTAAAGAAGCTATACAGAGGGGTTACAGTTACATGAGTAAGGCAATGAGTACATTTTTTGTTGAGCATTGTTACCCCTTTCTAAAAGGGACTTAAGAAGCTTGAAGAAACAAATGCAAATACATTCTGAAAATCAGGTCACAGTATGAGCTCACATAAATATAAATATAAAGAATGAATTTTTAAAAGGACAAAGCTAATATGTCACAGAATCAAACTGGTAATCCAAAGATCAATGCTGTAGACATCAAAATTACAAAGTTATTGGAAGTAGATAGAGAGTACATCAATCATACCTAATGAGAAGATTAAGTGCTAAGTAATAGGATTACAAGGTAATGATCTTTTCACAGAGTGATATATAGAGATACAATCCTAGATACAGTCCTAGGCCGTAAGATATATAGCAGTTAAAATGAATGAACTATACAGATAAGCATAAACAAATCTCAAAGCAATGTTTCATGCAAATTACCATCTATATAAATTTTAAAAAATGAAAATAACATTATGTGCTACAGTGGGAAAATACGTGCATACAAAGTAAAATAAAAAATAAAGCAAAGGGCCTGGCACCAGGGGTTCATGCCTCTAATCCTAGCAACTCAGGAGGCTGAGATCTGAGAACTGGGGTTTGAAGCTAGCCTAGGCAGGCAAGTCAATTATATTCTTACCTCTAATTAGCCACCAAAAATCCAGAAGTGCAGCTCAAGTAGTAGAATGCTAGCGTTGAGCAAAATCTCATATGGATAGCATCCAGGCCCCAATTTCAAGGCATGGGACTCTCTCCCTTTCTCCTTCCAACACACACACACAGAGAAATGGAAGAATGTAATGACATAATCAACTATAGGATGATAATTATTCTGAGTTCAAAAGAGGCTACTAGAATTGAAATACTCTGTGTTAGTGGTGTTTTATATCCTTCAAAATAAAAGAATCACCTATAGCAAACATGGAAAAGTGTTAAGTCTAGGAGGCTGGTGTGAAAGTCTCATGTTTTTTTCTATGTGTTTAAAGTATTTCATAATGAAAGGTAGAAACATTAAAATGAAAAATAGCAGTCTACATTTATTGCCTTTCTACATTATGTCTTACATTCCAGAATTGGGATTTCCAAATTCTGAATTCCTATATTCATGAAGCAAGAGAACTGAAAAAACCAACAAAGATCTCTTCCATTCTGTATCTTAAATGATCTTCTTCCCATTGTGATGAGGAGAGCAATAGAAATAAGAGCATGCTTATTATTCTTCAAAGCACTTTCATATATATTTTTTACCCTGTCCCCCAACTGCCAGCACTTATACAAGTAACTGTCACATAATTAGTGCTTAATAAATACAAACAAAAGACAAGCACTTAGTAAAATCCTTAGTGTCATATAATGAGTGTGTTTTCTGAGTGCTTTTGAGGAATCCAAAGATTACCTGGTTTTAGCTAACTGCTGTGTTATTCAAAAAACATTCTGTCATCTATCTGTCTGTCTGTCTGTCTGCCTGCCTGCCTGCCTGCCTACTTGCTTGCCTGTCTGTCTGTCATATGAAGTGATCTATATTGATAGACTTTTTTCATCAGAAACATTTTAAGTTACCTTATAACAATGTTCATCTTTGATTTTTTGCTGTTTTTTCCCTCTTGGTTTTGTGCAGCAACTCACCAGATTTCTTTCGTTAAAATATCGATCTCTGCCTCTTCCTCTTCATTCAAAACTCTGCCTCACAAGGAGGCATGGCTTATTTCATTTATTGGATCCTTTGTGCCTCCATTCATTCTTTCTTTCTTTACAATGAATACTCCCATGAGGCCAGTGTAGCTCTTCCAACATAAATGGACTGCTTTGAAATCTTCAGTGACTGTCCATCTGCCTTCTGGATAAGGTCCAAATTCAAGATCCTCTTTTTCATAGCCTGATTTCAGCTTATTTCTTCAGTTCTCTCTCTTACTCTCTTTCCATTGTAAATGGGCACTGGGCAACCTCATCTTTTGCATCCTTCATGTGTGTTTTCACTATGGAGCCACTGACATACAATTTCAACTGACCCTGTCTGAGCTCTCCTGTAAAGGTGGGTGGCTTTTTTCCCCCCCTCACCCAGAAGGATAGCTCCTCTCGTGGAAGTGTAGCTTCCTGGCAGAAACACTGAATTATGTTTAAGCACATACAGAGAACACTGCAGCTTCAGGACTTTGAGGAGCATATCATTTTCAACTTCCTGAGGCACAAGAATGACATGACCTTAGGATAAACAAAGCAGTATTGATTTCTTCAGCCTGAAGAGGAGCAACCAGGGCCATTTTGTGCAGAATGTGGAGCTAGTGCTTGTAGCCAGCTCAGCAGGAGGACTGGCCTCTGTATCATATTCTCTGGGGGCCGCTATGGGGAACGTTCATTTGAAATAGTTCTTTTCAGCCAATGGTTAGTTTTTTTTTTTAAGTTTGGTACAACTTATAGCTACCCTAAAATTATTGTTGAGGACATTGTTCACTACATGATTCAATATTTTCTTTTTTTTTTTCTTCTTTTTTTTTGGGTCCGGTCGTGGGCCTGAACTCTGGGCCTGCGCACTGTCCCTCAGATCTTCAGCTCAAGGCTAGCGCTCTACCCCTTGAGCCACAGCGCCACTTCCAGCTTTTTTCTTTTTGCTTATGTGGTGCTGAGGAATCGAACCCAGGGCCTCATGCATGCAAGGCAAGCGCTCTACCACTGAGCCACCTTCCCAGCCCTTCAATATTTTCTTTACAAGAACATTTGTCTCTGGTCTCAGACTAGAATTAACTGAATTTTAGCTCCACTGTGGATTTTGTTGCTTAGTTGGTGTCCTTTGTGAGGCTTTTCAATAGGTCAGCTAATTTTGAGGCTCATTTTCAGGAAATATTTTCAACATAAACTGGGTGTGGCTGCCTCATTCTAGGATTATCATTTGCCACCCTTTATCCAAATCTCTTCTGATTCCAACTTTTGTCTTATCATGTATATTTTTATAATCTACCTTGTAGGATTCAGATGGAATTCACATGTAAGTGCACACAATCAAATTTATAATGAAATAACCATACATGTGTATATAAAACAGAACTCAAAATTATGCTATGGTTTAAGGAAATGGATAGAAGAACTTTAAAAATATTTGGCTTTAATTTTATAAGTTGGGGTCCTTTATCCCTCACAAAAATTGAGAAAAAACAACTTTATTTTTATTTTATCTTTAAACAATGTATATTGGGAGCCGGGCGCTGGTGGTTCATGCCTGTAATCCTAGCTACTCAGGAGGCTGAGATCTGAGGATCAGAATTGAAGCTACTCTGGGTAGGGAAGTCTGTGAGACTCTGATCTCCAATGAACTAACCAAAAGCTGGAAATTCAAGTGATAGAATGCTAACCTTGAGGGAAGGAAAGAGGGAGAAACAAATAACAAGTTAGACAAGAAATGAAATCACTATCTTACTTATGTGATTGTAACCCCTCTGTACATCACCTTGATAATAAAATAAAATAAAATAAAAAGAATGCTAGCCTTGAACCAAAGAAGCTTAGGGAGCAGTGCCCAGGCTCTGAGTTCAAGCCCCAGGATCAGAACAAAACAAAACTAAAGGGACAATGGACTGGATCATGCTCTTTGTGTACATATAAAATGCATTTTGGTCATATTAAGCCCCCTCTGTTATTCTTTCTGTTCCTTTTATTTTTACAATTTAAATGTGTTTAGCCATATTGTAAAACCGGTTTTAAGGAAAAACAATTAGGAAAATGACTGATAGAATAAATGGACTGAACAGTACATGGACACAGGGTTTAGGGTTGCCCTGAGCTCAGGCTCCAGCTTCTCTGTACCAGTAGTTGTAGCCACAAAGTATTATGTAGTGTCCTGGGAACTGGAGGCAACTTCTGATTTCCAAATTTGTTTACTTTTTAAATTTTATGTTTTATTTTATTTATTTTATGAATTATAATTCAAAATAAATTCTTCTCTAATCCAAAATAATTGTAGAGGAAAATGTAAAATTTCTAAGGCATAGATATGAAGAAAGAAAAGAGATAATGAGCAAAAGAACCTGAGTTCTTCTCTTAGAAAAGAGAAAAAACATAGTGTCCGGGCTTTAAATGCACCAGAAACAGTAGAAATTACACTCTATCCCCTTACCAGCCCCACATAGTGCCAATAGAAACTGCTAGACACACTAGTAAAATGTGGGAATTTATTGGCAAAGAGATACCTGAGAAGTGGGCATAGAGCTGGCTGGTGAGAAGAGCTGAATGCCATCCAAGACCAAATTTCAACATCCCATCTCTGGTGGCAGAAAGTGAATATGGCAGAGACGAGCACAGTCAGAAAGTATAAATTGGGATGATGAGACAGTTCAATCCTGTTTCTATCCACAGGCATTTGTCAGGCTTCTGGTTGGTGCACAGTTTGGGAATACTGTTACTGAAACTACTCAGCTCCATGTAACTTATCTGGCGGTGGGGTGGGGTGGCAGTGTGTGCACAACTCACACACAGATAAATCTGTACTTATGTTGAATGGTAATTCCTTTTTACAACTACTTAGTGGTAATTTTTTTAAATGAGTATTTTTGGCTGTAAACCTTTCTGGGAATATATGGATCTGTTTAAGTTTTCCTGTGGGTTTTAATTGCCTGTTTTGTTTTTTAAATTTCACAGTGTGTGGACAATATACGTTGTAATGGCTTAATGACTATAGTGTTTGAAGAAAATTCCAAAGTTACTGTGCCACATATGATTAAGTAAGTGTAAAAGTCCTTTCCCTTGCATTTCAATCAAGATCAAATTGACAGAGAATGTAAAACCTTGAATAAAATATTGCTGTAGTAGGAGTTATTATTAAAAATCTTTCTTGGCAGCGATAAGATAATTGGTTTATGTCGTGCCATTATAAATAATAAGACTACCAAAATGGTTTTTCAGATTCACTGTTTATTATCTTCTAAGATAGAAAAATTGCCTTTCATAATGTTCACATACACCCTCATTCACAAGGTTCAAATTCAATATTTAAAAAAATTGAATTAGTGACAGATGTGTTTAAAGTTAGGGGATGAATCAAGCTGTGGTTCATGTAGTTTGGCATGGTCCAAGTAGGTATGAATCCTATTACTCGGATTTGGGTGGAAAGATGTTTAGATCTTGAACACACTTCAAAAAAAATGGTTGGGCTCTGATACTTTCTGACCACGGCCTAGAACTGATTTTGACAAGTGGCTGCTTCAGACAGCCATCTTGAACTATAAATACCTAACAAAGCGAATCTTGTAGCTTACAGGGATTATTGGGGAAGCTATACTTTTGAATAAGAAGTTACATCAATAAGTATGTGCTAGAGCTTTCTGTGTTAATACTTTTGTATCCACACTATTTTGTTTTCAAATTCAGAATTATTTGGGGAGTGTTTTGAAATGGACTGCATTGTTCCTTAACCACATTTTCTTGGTTATTTGCATTCCCAGTTTTAAGAGCAAAGTGTATTTTAAGAGCAATTTGGCTCTAACTTTTCAAACAAAAGTTACTTGAAACTAAGAACATGCTTCTTTTATGTGTGAATATTTTGAGGTCTGGACTGTTTATGCAGAGACAAAATAAATAACATTGCATTTTGAAGGATGACTTTGCAATTCTGACACGTTAACAATAGTACAACTTGTAGAACTGAGTATGTTAGTGCATAACACTAGAAAATATAAATAAAATTTAAAATATTTTGAGACTAGTTCTTTTAAAGTTTCAGAGCCAAGATTTTTTTACATTTGGTTTTCTAAATTTTTAATTTAACATGCTTCTTTGCTTACTTTAAAATGTACGATGCTAAGATTAAGAATAAGTAGGAAACAGTCTGAAAGCATAAATTATGGACTAATTTTTTAATTCTAACCATTCGATTAGAGTTTTCTTATTAATTTTTTTAACCATAGGAGTCTTATTTTAAACATTTCACAGAGTGCTATATATTATTTTCATTCTTTTTTGGAAAGCAACCTCTGAAGATTATGTGTCCATGAAAGAACTAGAATGTATCAGTCAGAAGGTTAGGGACAAGTTAGAATCTCCATACCTCCAGGAAGCCATCCATCTTGTATATATACAACTTGTTAATACTGAAGACAATTTTAATTTTGTGGCTGGCACCAAGATGCATCTATTCCCTTACCATACCAGTTTTCCCATGTCGTGTTCAATCTCAGTTGCTTGATCATTTTTATGTAGAACAAAACTGCCTTTGGGTATACAGCACTGATACTTGAATAACTAGGAACTGCTATTCTTCTAACAGTCTTGGGCTATAAGGATTAAAACTAAGACACCTAGACTACACTAGTTACATTTCTAAGACAGGGTGAAGTTCTATGAATTTATTCCTTCTAGTTTTCCCAGCCTCATTGAGCCTGATTCTCCTCAGAGGAAAGAATATTATTTTACCATCTCTGTTCCAACCTAAACTCTCTATGCTTTTTTCTGTATCTTTCCATGGCTACATGCCATGGTGGAGGAATAAACAGTTTTTAGAGTTAAAAGAAAAAATATCATAGCATAATTATGTCTTATTATTGACATAACATCACTTGGTAAGCACTCACTTCCTTTTCAGATTTGTCAGTCCCAAAAGATGATTTGTTTTTGATCTCTCACAATTGCTTTTTATGTTTACCACAAAGGAGTTGCTATTATCCTGGGAGGCTTAAGTAACACATTCTACCTTTCTTGAGAATCCCTTAGGAAATAAAGTAAGATCCTATTAAGTAATTTTGTAATATTTAATCTCATTTATTAAAATAAAAATGAGATAATAATTTTGAAGGACAATGGTGTAATTTCATTTTAAGTTAATTTCATACTGACTGCAACATTTTCATCTGTAGTTTGAACAAATGAATTATAACCGAACTATGTGAATCTCAAAGTACAACCAAAATGCAAAATCATGATAATTATCAGGTGAAAAATATCCATTTAAATGGTATCTAGTTAAAGCTTTCTTTCTTTTAAAACCATTTGACCCTAACTTTCTTAGAAAATGGAGATTGTTGGTGGTTAACAGTGAGAGAAAAAGTGATCATTTCATTCAGATGTTTCAGAGTGGATTGATGGATTCAAAAAAGTTACTCAGGTCATTTTTTCAAGAGAAGAAGTTAAGAATCAGAAAAACAAAGTTGGTTGAGAGTTATATGAGAGTAGAAGAACCACACTGTTATCAAGAATTTCCAAAGATGTGTTTGTATATTCCAAAATCAATACAATGACTAAAGCTCACAGGCTACCCTTAGTCAGGCTGGTCATTGAAAATGCTCTTTCAGGCTGCAAATTCAATACTTCTGTCTGTGCTGAGCAAACTCTGAGCTGGGAATCTTCTAAAAGCAAACTAAGAAAGCTATTGATTCCTTTGTTAGCCAAAGAAAATAAGCATATAATTTGAAATTTCTCAAAATGCTAAAAGATTGAACTAATGGTTCTCACAACAAGCTGACTGATGTTTAGAAAACAGCTAGCTGGCTCACTGACAGTCATAGATCCTGTAAGATAGCCTTTAATTAAGTGGTGAAATCCAGGGTTTCATTGATTACCTGTAGTGATGCTTCAGGCCAGGTGAACAGGAATCTCAGAAAGTAGCTAAGGTTACCAGTGCTCCTAGTCATCCATCCAGGATGCAACAGCCACATGGTGGGAAGGCCGGGGGGGGGGGGGGGGGGTGCATGGAACCTTTGTCGATGAATAAAAGTCAAGTTTTGCAGGCCAGCAGTGGTAGGTATTGTTTAGGGGAACATATTTCACCTACTGCTATTGTTTAATGAACTGAGTATTGATGTCAATTTATCTATTAAGTTTTATTCAGAAAATTTAAGCACCTTCGCAAGACAGGAAGAATGAAATAAACAAATTAGGCATTTGGTTCAAGAATATAGGGAAAGATACCCTAAACTGTAGAAAGGTGTTAGAGATAAATGATTGAAAGAACAAATACTAATAAATACACTGAGTAGAACTGGGAAATAGCTGTTTCTAGAGGACAAAACACAATTACATAAAATTTGATATGCTATTTATGATATAGTAGAAAGGCTATCTCCTGCTATTGTTTAAAAATGTTCACAGAAGCTTTATCCAAAGTAGCTAGACCAAGAAGAGCCTGAATGATCATTATGAGAATAAATGACCATAATGATCATTTATTGTGGGAGACCCACAATACTGACAGATCTGAGCACAGTTATGACTGTGCTGTGTGCTCTTCCCTGGTTGGTTAATGTATTTCTACCATGTACATAGGTCTGATGCCCGTCTTCATAAAGACGACACTGACATCTGCTTCAGTAAAACCCTCAACTCCTGCAAAGTGCCCCAAATCCGCTATGCCAGTGTGGAGCGCCTCTTGGAGCGACTGACTGACCTGCGGTTTTTGAGCATTGATTTCCTCAACACCTTCCTGCATACTTACCGTATTTTCACCACGGCTGCTGTGGTATTGGCAAAACTCTCTGACATCTACAAGAGGCCTTTTACCTCCATCCCTGTCAGGTGTGCCTTTCTGTTTTCTGTCACGGTGTAGATGTCTACCCTAGGGTATTGACTCACCTCTGAACCTTCAATACCCCATCAGTAGAAGTGGTAAGAAAGGTCACAAGAATTGTCCAGGGAAGAAATTGAGCACCCTGAAGTCTTCAAGTAGCCTTTGATTATTATATATAAAAGAATCATTAAGGGGCTATCTTGTTAAATTGCAGGAGATTCTGTGAGTCTGGGTTGGACCTAAGTTCTGTAGGTTTGACAAGGTCCTCCAAAATGATAATCTTGTGTTTCTTGTCCTGAAGGGACTGCAGTGGAGGAGCAGGGTCTAAGCAATTCCTAATGGGTATCTAGGAACTTCAGAAAGGACCGTTTAGACTATTGGAAAGCCCCACAGTAGAAATCTAATTGTATCGTTGACTTTAAATGGAGAGACTATGTTCTCCAGTGACCTCTGAGATATTGTTGTCACTGGGTCATCAGCTTAGTTAACAGCATTTGCTCTTCTTTTTAGGTCATTAGAGTTGTTTTTTGCCACCAGCCAGAACAACAGAGGCGAACATTTGGTGGATGGAAAATCTCCACGACTGTGTCGCAAATTCTCTTCCCCACCACCACTGGCAGTGTCCAGAACATCCTCCCCCGTGAGGGCCAGAAAGCTGTCCTTGACTTCTCCCTTGAACTCAAGGATAGGAGCCTTGGACCTGACCACATCCTCGTCTTCCAGCAGCCCTACCACCACCCATAGCCCTGCCGCGTCCCCACCACCACACACTGGTAAAGTACCGTTGGATCTTAGCAGAGGCCTCTCTTCTCCAGAGCAAAGTCCGGGATCTGTAGAAGAGAATGTAGATAATCCCCGCGTGGATCTGTGTAACAAGCTAAAGCGAAGTATCCAAAGAGGTATTATCTAGCTCATCAACGTGATCACATCCCATTTTGCTGATGCCTGCCTTCCCACCTTGCCTTCTAGAACCCTCACTCCTTACTTTACTACATTTCCTAAAAAGTAGAATACATATTACACAGTGGCTAATTTGAAGAGAACTTTCCCGTAGCTTTCCCAAGCCCCTGCAGAACAGAGAGCAGACTTAGGAGTCATCCTCTACTGTCCAAGGCTAGCTGTAATCAGTTGTATATGGAAAAGCCAATGGTCTGGATGCTGTTTCTGGAAGTTTTTGGGATCTGGTTAAAGCTGGCTGGCAAAGAGCCTACCACAAGGCTTTTAATAGAAGCAACTGTTCTACCACCTGTTTTGCTCCTACCGTTTTCCACTATGGATGACCTTGTCCAGTAGCACTAAGATGTCTGAACAGATTAGTTATGAGGCCGATACTCCAGAGACATAAAAAGAAAAACCAAAGCAGAGACAATGTTAATTATCTGTGACACAAACAAGATGGGATTTTGTTTGTTTGTTTCTCAGTTCTTATAATTTACTTCAGTTAGCACACAGTTTAAAAACTCACCAACACATTCATAGTATGAAATGAAACAGCATTATAAGATATTCCACCCTCAGGAAGACAAAGATACTATGATTGTCAAGGCTAGCTGTCAGTCTGAGTTTTAGAACAAAGGAAGAATGTGAAACTAAGTACAGAAGAAAGCCATTGCTCAAGTGACCATACAAGAAAATCCTCAAAAAGTCTGCTTTCTCACAGACATTATCTTCTTTAAATTAATAAAAAATATTTTAGCATAAACTCTATTTAAAAATGTAGAAACTCACTGGGCACCGGTGGCTCATGCCTGTAATCCTGTAATCCTGTAATCAGGAGGCTGAGATCTGAGGATCACAGTTCAAAGCCAGCCTGGGCAGGAAAGTCCTTGAGAATTTCATCTCCAATAAACCACAAGAAAACCGGAAGTGGCGCTGTAGCTCAAGTGGTAGAGTACTAGCCTCGAGCTGAAAAGCTCAAGGACAGCCCCCAGACTCAGAGTTCAAGACCTATGGCCAACAACAACAAAAAAAGGTAGAAACTCCTTAGGTAACTAAAGATAATGCTCCAAGGCCATTTTCACAGACAAATATGGACTGTTTCAGAATATTTTTTTTTCTTTCGTCAGTTGTGGAGCTTGATCTCAGGGCCTGGGCACTGTCCCTGAGCTCCTTGCTCAAGGCTAGCACTCTACCACTTTGAGCCATAGTGTCATTTCTGGTTTTCTAGAGGTTAATTAAAGAGAAGACCCTCATAGACTTTCCTGCCTGGGCTGGCTTTGAATCGAGTAGCTAGAATTACAGGCATGAGCCACCAGTACCTGACAGACAAAATGGCTTTTAACATGTAGATTAAGTCATATGGTTTCTTGTTTAAATTATCTATGATTTATCACATCATATAGAATAAAATAAGTACATTCTCCCATTCTCCCTTCCAGGGACTTTGGGTCTTGAGACTTGAGTGCATCCTCTCTCTCTCTCTCTCTCTCTCTCTCTCTCTCTCTCTCTCTCTCTCTCTCTTCTCTCTTCTCTCCTCTCTCTCTCTCTCTCCCCCCTTCCCTCTCTCCCTCTTCCCTCCCTCCCTCTCATTCTTCTAGGCTTGCATTTGCCATATTCCCTATCTACTGTACTACAGTCCTATTAATTTTAGTTTGTGACCCAGAAACACCTTGGCTCTCCCTGGCTTAAAACCTTTGCCCTTGTTCTTTCAGCCTGGACAGCTTTTCTGATGCCAGCTCCCAGAGATCAGTGGCCTTGTATATCTTATTCACATCTGTATAAGTAGTACCTTGAACAGTACCTTGTAGGAAGTAAATTTTTGTTAAGTGATCTGGGGCAGTGGCTCACACCTGTAATCAATCCCATCTACTTGGGAGGGGAAAACTTAGAGGATCATGCTTGAGGCCAGCCCAGGTTAAAAAAAAGTTAGCCAGATCTTTTATCAACAAACAAGCCAAGAATGATGGTTCATGTCTGTGGTCCCAGGTATATGAAGGCTTAGCCAGAAGGATCATAGTTTATGCCAGACTCACCCAAATACCTGAGATCTTATTTGAAAAATAACTAAAGCAAAAAGGACTGGAGACCTGGATCAGGTGGTACAGTGCTTGTATACCAAGCACAAGGTCCTGAATGTAAACCACAGTACCAACAAAACAAAGAACAAAACAAGAAAAAAAATTGTTAAATGAATGAAAGAAATGAAACACTCGGCGAACTAATAGAGATTCCTCTGGTACATCTCATTGTTCTATTTGTTTCAATGTGGGCAATTCATTATGCTTGTAAAATCTCAACCAAATTGGCAAAGAGCTTTTTACCCCAGTATTTCACAGTGGACTTGTTTATTGGTACTGTAAAAATGGTGCAACAGATCCACGTGTTTGAATTTTAAGGCTCAGCACTCAGATGAAAATTCAAGCTTTGTTTTCTGTCTTCTTGAAGCTTCTATGTGCTGTCTCTTTAAGTTCACTTTAATGAGTTTACCGCATAAAATACTTAATGGAATTTTAACTGGAAGGGTTGTCATCATCAAAAATAGCATCTTTTTTTTAAAAAAAAAAGATGAGAAATTCTTTAAATTGACAAGTTAGCAACTAAGGAGGAGGAAAGGGGGAAGATAATTAAAAAGTCATTAGAACAACAAGCTCCAGTGAAGTACTGATGGATTCTTCTCAGAAGGAGTAGCACAGGAGCTGACAAGTGATGTGAGGTTCCAGACAGCACTTGGGTGCCTGTACAGAGTGACAGACAACTAGCTCCCTCTGCCCTTCCTGAGGCCAGTATCCTGGGATATTTGGGAAGTGTTCTAGGGCCTGGGAAGGTCTTTCCATTTCTCTATTGGATTGTGCTAAATAGGAAGAATCTGGAGATGAGTCTGGATTTTTGTGTGCTTTCGAGGCAGGAGAGCTTCAGAAACAAGCACTTCAATGTCAGAGCTGAGTATGCATGGAGCTCTGCTTGCTTGCTCTTGGGGTTGAGAGGGTCTGTGGCCATCACATGGTCAGCTCTGTTCAGGCATCCATGAGGGCATCTCTGTGTACTCCAGAGCTGTAACCCTGGCACACAGTGAATAGGGTTGACATCCTTTCCTACTCCAGTTCTGTGAATAAAATAAGCCCAGTTGTTACCAGAGGGGTAGCTGGAATCTGGAAAACAGAGGAAACCACACCTATGAGCAGAAGCACAAGCCAAGAATAGGCATGTGAACATGGGAAAAGAGGTAGGCCCAGTTCTGGTCAAGGAGAATGATGCATGAACAAAGGGCTAGGGTAGTTCCCACAGGTAACTGACATTTAAGAGAGCTACTCCTGAAGGGGAGCTTTTGAACTGGGTTGAAGTCAGTGGCAGCTCTGTTGAACAGATCCTGTTACCATGCTTCCTAGGGATTTCTAGGGTGAAACAACAAATATACACCCAACTTTGTTCCACTTGCTCTTCTCTTTGTTCTATTTACTACTTAATGATTTTTAAGTTAAGATAGCTACTGAGCTATCATCCTCACTACTCAGAGAGCTGAGACCCAGAGGATCTCCTTCAAAGGCAACCAGGTCAGGAAAGACCCCAAAGACCCATCTCCAATTAGCTAGCAAAAAATCTAAGCTGGAGGAGTGGCTGAACAAGCAAGACGAGTGAGACCACAAGGAACTGAATTCCTGTCTCTGTAGTGGCAAAATAAGAAAAGTAAAAGATAACTAGTTCCTTAGTTAAGTGCATTCAAAACAATATCTCCAATACATTCACCTTGCAAAAAAAGCTAAGCCTATTAAACAATACTTTTTTTCTTGCTCTCCAACCCCAACCAACAACTACTTTTTTTTTTTTTTACTTTCTGTTTATGTGAGTCTGACTATATTAAGTTCTTCATGTAAGTGGAATCCATGGTATTTATCCTTTGCTCACTGGCTTGCTTACTCAGTGAAGTATGTTGACATCTCATCGTGAGATAATATGCAATAGGGAATCCTTTGCCTTAAAGACTGAATATTCCATTGTGGGTATATTTTCTACATATGTTTATCTTTCCATGGACTCTTCTGTTACTTCCATCTCTTGGTGATGGTAAATAATGCTGCAGTGAATGTAAGAGTGCAACTAGCTCTCTGAGTTCTCCATTCCAATCATAGATAGATAGATAGATAGATAGATAGATAGATAGATAGATAGATAGATAGATAGATAGATAGATAGATAGATAGATAGATAGATAGATGTCTTAAAGTGGGAAGAACCTCATTGGCATTCTATCTCCCCAATAGTCCACATGCTCACTAGAACTTAGTGTGTGTTAATGTTTTATAGCAGTCATTCTAGTGGATGTGAAGTGGTAAACTTTACTTTTTCCCTCTATTTCTAGAGGTTTCCTTTTACTTTGGCTATTCAAAGGATATAGTTATGAATTGGGAGGGGCATTATTGGGTTTGAACTTGCTAGACAAATGCTCTACCATTTAAGACACATCCTCAGCCCCTTTTAAGCATAGATAGCTTTTTCAGATAGTTTATTTTCTTTTCCTATGCTGGGATTCATACTACCCTTCCCCTCTGCCTCCCAGTGATTTCAGGACATGTACACCATCCAGTTTGTTTGTTGAGATAGAATCTTGCTAAAGACTTTGTTGTTTGGAATGACCTTGATCTCTGCCTTCTAAATAGTTGAATTTTTTTTAGTGTAAGAAGAAAAGAAAAACAAAATATATTCCTTTATTACAATCTAAACACTTTACAAAACTCTTGAGAGATTCTCAGTCATCTACCCATTGCTCATTGTGGTTACATGCTCTACATTAACTCATTGGGTAGGAAGGGAGGTTCTACTCTGGCCACCAGCTTGTCTGGTTTGGGCTTGTTGAGATGAGGTCTTGCTAACTTTTTTCTTGAGCTAGCTTGAAGCCATGATCATCCATATTGCTGCCTCCTGAGTAGCTAGATGTATAGATGTGTGCCACTACACCAGGCCCTTCCTTAGAAAAAATAATGTATTTCCTATCTTAATCTTAAAAATGTTTCAGGTATAGTGCAAAGAGACACGTGGTATATCTGTAACTAAAAATAAAATATATGAGGAAATCAGGCAATGCAAAACAAGGGAGTAAAGATATGTTCGGAGAGGGGTGAGGTTAGTGAACAACTACCCTAGACTCCTCATAACTTTGCTTTTAAAAATTGTATTCTTATTATCTTTAAGTAGTTGCACAAAGGAGTTGCCATTCAACAAATCAATTTATGAATACAGTGCATCTTGATTGATGTCACCCCTTTCATCTCTTTCCTCCTTTCCTTTCAACCCAACTCCTCTCCTCTGTTTTTAATTTTATAGAATAGATACTGAAAAATGTAAGTATTTTCTGCACCCAATTCCTCCCTTCATTCATCTACCTTGTAACTGAATTTCCCAGATAACCAAGACAGCGATACAATCAGTTTTGTGATTTATACTGCAAACTAGGAATATGTTAGCTGTAGAGGTCCATTGTTTTTGGCTTGTTTGAGACTTGATAAAGAAAACCCTGTGAATAAAAGCTTAGAATTAAGACTTGGGTTACAGCAGTTCTCTGGCATTTATGTGAACAGATAAAGCAGAGGAATCATAGGCTTAGTATTTTCTTTTATTCTGCAGTTGTATGTGGATATAATACTGGTTGTGATTAGCTTTAGGGGAGTGATAGATGAATACTTCTGGTGTCTAAAAGGTCAGTGTGCTAGTGTATGCATGTATGTATGTATATACTTCCGTGTGTGCATGTAGTGTCTGTGGAGGTCAACAGTGCTGTTCTGTTAACCATACTATATAGTCTTCAAAATTCAAGTTGGCAGAGAACAAGGAGATGCTGATCTGTCTTTAATTTAAATGATGTTTGCGCATGCTTTGCATAATATTAGCAGTTAAAACAGTTGGCAAACTTGAATAAGACTCTTATGCCAAGAGTTTATGCATTTTCTGCTTTTCACTTCGGGACACCACCGCACCCAATCTGCTTGTATGATATCAGTTTTGTTCATGACATCCATACCAAGGCCAAAGGTCTCTCTTTCTCTCTCTCTCTCCCTCCCTTCCTCCCCACTTCTCTCTCTCTCTCTCTCTCTCTCTCTCTGTGTGTCTGCTCTTCACATAGCCAGTATCAGAGCATGCTCTTTGAAAAGTGCTAATGACCTTTGTTCAGTTTTACTGTCACTGTAATGATAAATGCCAGTTTAGCAAGTTTTTCTGGCAGGAGAAATTCAAGTGGAGTGAAGGGAAGGTGAGAAATAGGAAACATCCCTCATTGTGTGAGCTTCACAATTGATTTTTTAAAGGGGGAAATATTATACAACTGAATGTCCTCTCAACCTAGTCTCCAGATTTGCTCCGGCTCTCCCAACAGTAGCGTCCCTTCCCAAGACCAGGCAGTTCCTACCTTTTTCTATTCCAAGTGTTTTTACAAAACATGATCGCCTGACTCAGTTTCCCCACAGTGACAGGTTTTCATTGAAAACCAAGCCAGTGGCAAACGAGAAAGAACTTAAGGACCACTTGCTTTACTGGAGCCCTGAGTCCATCAATGTTCATGGCTGCACACCTTAGCTGCCTAACTGTGTCTGCACAGCCCACAGCACCAGTATCTGTTTCTGTGTTCTTAGTTTGAAAATTGCCTGCCTGTGGGCTGAAAATGCTCCCGATTTTAGCATTTGTTTTGTGCCCACATCTGCCCACTCGTCCTGCCAGCAAAGCTGTTTGCATAGGGCTTGATTGAAAGAGAACACACCAGAAGGAAATACCACCTCCACTTCACCATGTTGGCATGCTTTCTTCTCCCTGTAGGTGCCTGGTAGCTTGCCTATAATTCTTTGCTTCCCTGCTCACTGGGGACATTAAAGTCCTGTCCAGTTTTCTCATTGGGAAAGGTTTGGGAGCTTACCATGTTGCTGACTAAAGATTTTCTCTTTTGACTCAGATGTATGAATGAATGAATGGTTGAATCAGATGAAGGACATGCATTTGATATTCAGTTTGCTCTTATAGAGCAGATGCCTTCCATTACAGATTTTTGAAGGAGCTATTTAGAAAATAATAAAACAAACAGCTAAGCACTGATTTTTTTGTCTGCATCTTGCATCACTGCCAGTTTTACTGTAATTATGTCATTCAAGGAAAGATTCTAACCATTTTCCTTCCCTAGCCCTTTTGAGTCTCAGAAGATTGAAATTGTAGTCATATTTCTAAGGCAGCCAATAACATGCAAGTGTAAAAATGGTTTTTTATGAAGTCATTATGGACTTCGTAAACTTTGTTGACTAAAATTTTGAATGGATGAAAAGGGAAGTTGTTCAGCTGACCAAGGTAATGTAAAACTCGTGTAAAATTAGCTTTTTAATTGAGTATTTGTTAATTTTTAATAATATTTTTCTTTCAAGAGGCATACACCAACTTACACTTTGACTTGATGAATAAACCAGTGGCCTAGATAAACAGCAGCCTAGATGGATGATCCCAGAAAGATGTTCTTTTGTTCTTCAGAGATTAGCAACAGCAGCAGGGCTCTTGTTGAACCCACTCGACAATTCCTGAAAACAAATTTCCTTGTGCTTCTTGTTATCTGTAGTTGGAGCTCAGAGTTACTTGATGAGGGGGTGGAAATGCTCTATGCCTGAGCTGTCCCATGCTATAGTCCCTAACAGGGGACACTGAGCATTGAAATGTGGCTAGTACAAGTAGTGAACTGAAATAACTTTAACTATAGTCAATATAAATCAGATAATGATGTCCTAATATCCTAGGGCATCGTTATCTAGGGCTAATATAAATATGATTAGTGCTTCCATTTTGGTCAGTGCAGCTGACCTGAAGAGATCAGATCCTGAAGAGCTCCCCAAGCTTCCTGACATAGGGGTACATTAACAGATTAAAATGTTGCTTGCCCTAAGGGGAAAGCCCAAGCAGAGCAGTAGCAAAGTCTTCACCTTGATCTCAATGTCACTGGTAACCTGAGAAAAGTCCTCTTTTGAGACTCTGAGAAAGTCAAAGAATTCTTGAGGCAGGAGATCACTGCATAGCCCCTGTTCATTTAACACATGCTGTTGTAGTGGACAGAAGGAGCAAGCCAAGGTCATCCAAGATCAGCCAGGCTCAATGACGTCAACAGATTCCAGTCATAGATGGAGAAGATCATATGTAGGGTTAGTCTCATTAGTATTCTGCTGAGATAGGACTTGTTATCATATTAAAGATCCTTAAACATGTAGACTACTGACATGCTTATCCTTAACAACTTCCATTGCTGGGCATGAGACTGACGAGGAACTCTTGGATTTGAGGCTGATGGCTAACATCCCTGCTGTTTTCCAGCCACAGTGCTGGAGTCCGCACCATCAGATCGAGCAGGAGTGGAAGGCTCCCCAGCAACAGAAGCCACTGAACACTCACCTTGCCGATCTCCCTCAACTCCCCGGCACCTCCGCTACCGCCAGCCTGGAGGTGAGAAATCAGAAAATAATTCAGAAAGAGAAGAGTGATTACTAGCTTCAACATCTTTGTTTTACTGTTTACTCCCCAGTTGTAAAAATTAATTGGAAGCAAATAGCATTACATAAGACCAAGGAGTGGAAAAACAAATGATGAGAGAATAAATGAATATCTCATCAGCTGGACTGATGTTTGATCTTTGCATTACATTTGGTGCAAAAGAACATTGAGTAAGAGCCTGTCCTAGTTCATTAGTGAAAGAATCTCAATGCTGACTTAACCTAAATGTTGCCAGATTCTAGAGCCTTAAGAGTCCCAGTGAGCTCTTCATGATTAGGCTCACCCAGACACCACAGATGGGTGGAGGGTACTTATTTGTAATGCTTTCTAAAAAAAAAAAATCTAAAATAAAATCCAAATAGCCTGAGAGCCTATCATTACTGCTAGTGGAAGACACTGATATATTTTCTTGATATGTGGTCATAAAAATTGGGGAGAATGATTTCACAAATTGTCTTGAGATACAACACATGAAAACACAATCAGTTTTATCTTCCCGTTTTCTATCCTTATGTTTTAATAAATTTATCCAAATCATGGTGGTTTTGAGACATTTTTTTCTCCTCAAGACAATTATTTCAAGTCAGAAAAGAAAGTTCTGCAGTTATGAAATGAGTTTCACCCCAAGTAACCCAAGTGAAGGCATTTTGACTCTCATATTTATGCTTTAAGTAGAGCATTTTGTCAACAGATATAAAGTGCACAACTCCAAATTGTCTTATCATTTGTGTCCCAGCCACTCCAAAGAGGCTGTTAGCATTTGCCCTTGGCTCTGAAAGCAGCTAGAAGAGTCTGGGTTAGGCCATTATCAGTGTTCATCTTGGTAGATACCAACCTTCAGGGATTTCAAGTACCTGCTCAGTTGTGGAGCACCCTGCCGTTTGGCTGGTTCTCGTAAAGGAAGGTGACAAGCTTGGCTTTCCTGGCTAACCATAAGACTACTAGGGAATTAGCCAAATAGAGCCTATGTCAGCACAGGGCTTAGACATTTGACTATTGTCACACTGGACCCTCTTGAGTTCATTGCCTCCTAGAAGAGCTTAGGGGAAAAAGGCAATGGAGACATTCTGCCTTTTATGTATTTACTTGTTTTGTTTTGTTTTTTACTATTACTAGAGCCCTATCTTAGATTCTCTTTTCATGTTTAGACTTGCACATAAAGATTTTAGTTTTATAAGGATTATTTGGAAGTGCTCATTTGCAGGTTAACAAAGTCCTTTGTATCTTTCTTCAAGTGACGAATTCATATAGACATAGGAACATAGGAAGGAGGTTGGAGTCAGTGATGAAATGGAAGATCTGAGAAAAGACACAATATTATTTTTTCTCACTGCTTAGCCAATATTTTGCCCATTTATCTGTCTGCTTATCACCTGCTTTCATACTGGAATAGCTTTTTTTGCTTGTTTATTATTATTATTATTTACTTTTTTCTTGTTTGTTTACTTATTTATTACTTAAAGACGATAATTTTGGTAGCAAACTAATAAAACCCCCTTAGGTCAGAACTATGGCACACTGTTTTACTGAGAGCCTGAGGGGCAGGGGCACTGACACTAGCACCAGCATTTCCAAATATTGTATGCAAAGCATTCTCTGAATGAAAGGGACTGCCAAGGGTGCTTGTTGTACCTTTTGATTTTAGAAGGGCCATGTAGAAGGTAAGCCTTTTTATTGTCTCATTTTTTTTGTACTGGAAATCCAAACCAAGGTCTTTTGGCAAGTGTTATACTACTGAGAGACACCCTAAAGATGCTTGAGAAAAAGGAAATTCTTTTTTTTGGGGGGGGTCCGGTTATGGGGCCTGAACTCTGGGCCTGGGTGCTGTCCCTCAGCTCTTCAGCTCAAGGCTAGCACTCTACCACTTGAGCCACAGTGCCACTTCCAGCTTTTTTCTTTTTGCTTATATGGTGCTGAGGAATTGAACCCAGGGCCTCAGGCATGCAAGGCAAGCGCTCTACCACTGAGCCACCTTCCCAGCCCTGAGAAAAAGGAAATTCTATTGTAACATGATGTAGAATCTTTTACAAAATATTGATATTGAGAAACAATTCACATGCCATAAGATTCTCCTTCTCCTTTCCTTTCTTTTTCTGCCTCTGGGGTGTGAACTCAGGCCCTCATCATCTCCCTTGACTTGCTCACTTGCTGATTCTATACCACTTTAACCATACCTCTAGACAAGATTTTTCTTGGTTATTCTGGACATGGATTCTCATGGGCTTTTCTGCCTAGGTTTCTTTTAAGCCCCAATTATCTGAGTAACTAGAATTACAGACATAAGCCCTTGGTACTGGCTTTTATAAAATCTGCCTTTTAAAGTATGCAGCTTAGTATATTTTACATAGTCACAAGGCCAGGCAGCCTTAACTCTGTTTAATTCTAATCTCTTCCCCCTAAAATTCTTTACCTAAATGCATAGATGCCTCATTCTTATTTTCCTTGAGTCCTGGCAACCATGAACCTAGTTTCTAAATGAACTCACCTATTTTGGACATTGAATGTAAAGGAAGCCATGAAATATGGCACCTATTAGGATTGGCTTCTGTCTTATAGAACCCAGAACTTCAATCCTTGTTTGGGTGAACATTATTCTCTCTCTTTTTGTGTTTGTCTATTTTGTTTGTCTTTTTTTTGTTTATCAGTTGATAGGAAGTGATGTTTCTATCTTTTGACTAAAGTGAATAACGGTGCTATAAATATCCATATACAAGTTTTTGTGGGGACATGTTTTTCTCTTTTAGGCTTTAGTGAATAATGCTGCCATGAGTATTTACATACAAGTTTTTGTGGGGACATGTTTGCCTATTAACAGGGTGTATAGCCAAACTTTTCATCCAAAGCCAATGTAGAAACTGAAATGAGAATTTTATTATGGAGTGCATCTGTGTGCCTCACCATTCTACTTCCCTTCTCTTTCGCTAACCAGGCCAGGTAGCCGACAATGCCCACTGCTCTGTCTCACCAGCTTCTGCTTTTGCCATTGCCACAGCTGCAGCAGGACACGGGAGTCCACCAGGTAAGTCCACCAGGAGACATACGGGCCAACTGTCCTACACCACTGACTCCTGACTGCCAGGGTCTGATGATTTTTGGAGCTTCCTCGCTCCTTTCTGAATCAATGTGTCTACCTCTCTTTCAAATAAGCACCTTCAGAAGTTCTGTCTTTTGCAACATCATGAACAAACCTTGATGACATTATGTTAAATGAAATCAGACAACATAGATAAATACTGCTGGATCTCAACTATATGTGTAAACTCAAAAAGTTGAATGCATACAAGTAGAGGGTAGAGCAGTAGTTACTGGGAGCTGGGATGATGAAAAGTCTCAGACAAGAAGACTATGTTCTGGAGATCTGTTGTACAGTACAGTGATGAGAGTTAATAGTGTATTCTGTGGTTGAAAACTGCTGAGAGACGTAGATTGCAAATGTTCTCCCCACACAAAAGATGTGTGATAGATGGGTTGTCACTTTGGCCAATCATTCTACAATGGATGCATCTCTGAAAATATCAAATTGTATCTTATAAACATATACATACAAAAAAATGTATGTGTATCCTCGATGTATGAGCATCCTCGATGGTGAGTCACACAAATAGTCTATGGGTTCTACTTCTGTGAAATTCTGTATCTGTATCAGGTTACTTCTCCTGTGTGGTTTATGGTGTTCTTCAGCCTTGTCAGTCAACTGGCTAAGAACATGTTTCCATTTTAATTGAGACGAGAGCTGAAAGCATGTGCAAGGGAGGGTGTGGGGTGGGCAGCCTTTGTTCCGGCTGCTTCTCTCTTCATTTCCACTAGCTCCATAATTCCTTCTGAGTTACTGACAGTCCACATTCAGTAGAAAGAAGTGCTTAACATAAAAGCAGAGTGCTTTAATAGGTGGAAATTATGTTCATTGTCTCTGTCCTCTTCTCTCAGAGGCAAGGGAACACATTATGTTGAAACAAATCTGTAATTGGGTTCAGTAGATCTGTTGCCGTGTCTGCTTCTAAATGATGGCTTCCAGTCATGCTGTGTAAAACCATGAGAAGCCGTGTCTTGTTCAGTAGCTATTGTCGCTTACCACAAAGGAGTCCTTTTCTAAGATCTATGAACTTTTACTTACAAAATACTAGTAGATACTCTTATGTGGCTTCTAAATTGGGGAAGGGAGGTTTTTCACAATGAGCATATTCTTGCATATTCATTTTATTATTTTAGTTATCTAGGTGGAAAACTTGTAAAGTTATCATATTCTACTTAACTGTTTTGCCACAATACTTTTTTATGGGTGTTCTTTGTCCCAAATATTCTTCAAATCCTCCCCTAGCTTTCTGTCAGCACAATATAGGGCCATCTGAAGTGTCCTTATCTTGTAAATCCAGTTGGCTTCATGTATCATTGCCTTCTCTAGGAATAAACATCTGCATTGAAAAGGAAGGGATCCTTTACTATGTTTTTGGCAAATTTAATCATCAATTGTGGTTTTAAAATAACTTTTCCTGTCTTCCTGGTCTTGCCTTTGGAGAAAAAAGTATATTTGGAAATGTAAATTCATGGTTACAAGGTTTTCTAATTTAGGTAGTGTTTGTGAGGAAAAGTAGTTAAAAAATTAACACATGATAAGCCTATTTCCCCAGTTGTTGGAGCCTAAATAAGAAAGCATCTCTTTTACATGAGATGGTGGTGAAGATGCACTTTGATTTTTGGCTTGTCCAAGCATGTTAGTACTTAAAAGAAAAAGCAGCAAAAACAACTAAGTCTTCACTTTGGGAACACCTGTTACTTCTGCTGTATTTGGTCTTTCTTCTCTGATGGAATGATCTTAGGTAGATGCTTTCCAATGAGGCAGCTGGCCAGGCTGTCTGAAGGAGGGAGCTGCCTGAACTTGCTAAAGGAACTCAGCTGGCATGGCTCAGTGCAGGGCATCAGGAATTCCTGGTGAACAGACAGCTATCACTACAATGGTGGTGTTTATCACACTGTCTGGAACCATGTAACTCGATTTAGAAGTAAAGCTAGTAAGGAATTGAACTTGACAATGACCATGGCCCTGCTGGGAAGGTAGTGAGTTGCCCATGGATGAGATTCTATGAAAAGAGTAAGGACCAGTGTATTTATCTACTCAGAAGAACTGCACCAAGAGGGATTCCATCTGCCTGGGAGAAAGAGGCAGAACAGCTCTATTTGAATGGTCACTGAGGAAAGCAGAATCAGAGCATAAAAAGGGAAGTGCTACGTCTCATTGTTTCAATGGGTCATCCTGTATTCCTATTTAAACAATTTGTTTTTTCGCTTCCCCTCCCCAGATTATGCCAACATCAAATAGTGAAAACAGGGGTTTTACCATGGGGGAGGGACATACAAGACAACAAAAAATCATATGGTACCTTATAAATACATTAGAAGCAACAGCAAGAAAAAAAACACTTGTATCCTTATCTTAGGGTTCATTTTGCAAATTGTTTAAACAGGGATACAGGTTGACCCATTACAACAATGGGATGTACAAGACCCTATATCGATTTAGGTGGAGGTGGGGGGGGGAGTGGAGTGTAACTGTAGAGATAGGAGGGAAGGGATGGTAGGGGAAAAACAAAGGAGGAGACAACAATGCTTGATAAGAAATGCACTCATTACCTTGCCCATGTAACTGTAACCCCTCTTCTGTACAGTATTCTCACAATAAAAAAAAACTTATTAAAAATGATGTTTATCGAAATAAACTCCAAGAAATGGACAAAAAGGGAAGCGCTGGGAATATGACTTGCCCTTTGTGACTGCTCAGGGTGAGCGTGGCATTGCCTAGGAGAGAGCTAGAACGAGATGCCTGACAGGTATTCCAAGGAAGAGAGTGCGACATAGCAGTGAACTCCCCAAACACTCTTTTCATTTGTTCTCTGGATCAATTGCTGACTTGAATTCACCCTAGAACCTGGTGGGTTGCAAAGGCAAGCAAGAAGAAAGCTTGTGTAAAGTAAACTCTGATGCCTTTGGCACCTCTGTAGGCTTGCTCTTTGTTGGCTTGACACACATCGTGGCTCACCTCTGTTACATCTTGATCCATTGTAAGAAGTATGGAACTTTCTGGTCAAACTAAGGGAACTGCAGAATGGGTTTCCATGGTTTAGGCTCTTCTGAAGGTTTCTCCTGTTTTCATATTCTCCAGCCCTCTTATATCATATACACAGGAGTCTGGCCACCTGGGTTGTAACTGGCACTATCTGGAGTGCATGCTCAAACATACACTTAGACATTTGCATGATAAACTATTTATCTTTAACCGTACCTTGGAAGCCTTTCTTATAGCAGTAAAAGAAATTTCAAATTTCACAGCAGAGTAAATAGACAGCACATTTTGTTTACAAGGAAGTTGGCCTGGAGGCTCCTGACTGATCCTGAAGTCAGGAAAACTGGTTGTATTTGTGGACAGCAGTTCTGTTTATTTGTTTATCTGCTCAGAATTACCTGCTCTGCTGCCAGGAATTCAGTCTGTCTAATTCTGCACAGAATGGGAAAGGCTGAGGGTATTTTTTCCCTGTTTTTTATTCACTGTTATATTTTAGTACATAGAGTCTGCACTCTCCAAAACTGAGCCATTCTCTTCTACATCATACCTCCTTTGCTTCCCTATGGCTACCTCTCCCATTTTGAGAACAAAAATCTTGTTCCTCTTCATTAATTTAAGTGCTATCTATCTATCTATCTATCTATCTATCTATCTATCTATCTATCTATCTATCTATCTATCTATCTATCTATCTATCTATCTATCTATCTATCTATCTATCTACTATCTATCTATCTATCTATCTATCTATCTATCTATCTATCTAATCTCTATCTATCTATCTATCTATCTATCTATCTATCTATCTATCTATCTATCTATCTATCTATCTATCTGTCAGCAACAGCAGCATTTGTCATCTATCAATTATTAAGCTCTCTATCTTTCCCCTCGATACTTACCATTGTTTGACATAATATTTATTGCTAATTTATCTTTCTCATTTTCTATTTCTCCAATATAAACTCTATAGGAGCAGGAACTTTTTCCTATTTATGTAATGCTGCATTCCATAACCAGAATAGGTTTGTACAAATAATAAATGATTGGTAAACATTTTCTGAATGAATCAACGAATTCCAGTAAATAGATAATCATTTCCACAATAGAGTAGATTCAGAGCAGAAATCAGAAAAACTTTTATCTGCTTATATGTTTATAGGACAATGGTGTTCTAAGTTATTGGATATTGTTGTTATTTCATTTTATTTTTTAGAGTAAAGAGTTTTATTTTCCCAACTGACCTTGGGGATGTGATATCAGTCTGTACAAGTCAGCATGTAGCTTCTTCTGAATATTTCCCAGGCTTAGTCCTGCTTTTCTGGCTACCTATACTCCTTAGCGAAGCATGTGATGGATGGGCTCCTGATTACACTTCATTGATTTAGTCTTGGTCTATCAAAAGACTTTTCCTTGCACTCATGATTAGAATGTCTTTGAGATTTCCTGGTCCTAAATATGTGCTGCCAATCAGGAGGCAATCACTAACCAAACTGCTAAAGTTTCACACAGTGCAGTTACCAAGAATTGCTTTCCTGTCACAAACTAGGCATTTTTTTTTCTTCCAATAGAGGTACCATTGATGATCTGGAAATTGTAGTAGGCCTATATAGAAAGATATAGAATCTATAGAAAGATATAGACTTTGTGGCCCTGGTTCGCAAACAATGCAAGGAACCTCACCTTGAATAAAATAATATAAAACTGCATGTATGAATATTGAATTACATATATGAATATGCAGTTACATATATGAATATGAATATGAGCACCTCCCAGGCTTTGGAACAGGCTCTGATGAACTGAGAGGTCCTGGAGCTTAAATTTCATGGGTGTCCTGGTAAACCTGCTTTTGATTCATCTGTCTTTCTTTTGACTCATCTGTCTTTCTTTTTGATAGCTTGTGGATAGTGCTGAAGGCTGGGTCCTCAGAGTAGTGCTACTGGGATGTGGAGTCCTAC